TCCACCCATCCATCCATCCATCCATCCATCCATCCATCCATCCATCCACCCACCCATCCATCCATCCACCCATCCACCCACCCATCCACCCATCCATCCACCCATCCATCCATCCATCCATCCACCCACCCACCCATCCACCCACCCATCCATCCATCCACCCATCCATCCATCCACCCATCCACCCATCCACCCACCCACCCACCCATCCATCCATCCACCCATCCATCCATCCATCCATCCACCCATCCATCCATCCACCCATCCATCCATCCACCCATCCACGCATCCACCCATCCACCCATCCACCCATCCATCCATCCATCCATCCATCCATCCACCCATCCACCCATCCATCCATCCATCCATCCATCCATCCACCCATCCACCCATCCCCCATCCACCCATCCACCCACCCACCCATCCATCCATCCATCCATCCACCCATCCATCCATCCACCCATCCATCCATCCATCCATCCACCCATCCATCCATCCACCCATCCATCCATCCATCCATCCACCCATCCACCCATCCACCCATCCATCCATCCATCCATCCATCCATCCACCCATCCACCCATCCACCCATCCACCCATCCACCCATCCACCCACCCATCCATCCACCCACCCATCCATCCATCCATCCACCCATCCACCCATCCATCCATCCACCCATCCATCCATCCACCCATCCATCCATCCACCCATCCATCCACCCATCCACCCATCCATCCATCCATCCACCCATCCATCCACCCATCCATCCACCCACCCATCCATCCATCCACCCATCCATCCACCCATCCACCCACCCACCCACCCGTCCACCCACTCGTTCATCCGTCCATCCATCCATCTGTCCGTCCGTCCATCCACCGTCCTTTACACAGGATGTCCCCAGCGTCCCTGCAAAATCACCTTAAAATATCCTACAAACTCTCCGGAGCAGCTGGCCTGTTCCCCGTGCAGTCAGCAAAAATCGTTTCCAAAGAGAAAAGGTCTGGACGCTGTAATTGTGCATTTTTAAACCGTGTTATTAGAGCCGTTTTAGGTTTGCAGCAAAATCCGGCAGAGACACAGAGATTTCTCTCTGCGTGGGTGGTCTCGTGGAAAAGGAGGGGGTTTTTTGGAAAATATTTGACAAGACTGCAAGTTTACTGAACGGAGTTGGGGCTTTTTTAGGTCTTTACTCCCTAAAAAATACAGTGCAAGGAGTTTTACTCAGCTTTTACCTTATATGTTATATTATATTTTATTATATTATATTGCATTGTATTGTATTGTATTATATCATATTTTATTATATTATACTTTATTATATTATATTGTATTGTATTATATTGTATTTTATTATATTATAGTTTATTATATTTTATTATATTGTATTATAGTATATTATATTGTATTATATTATGTTTTATTATGTTGTATTGCATTGTATTATATTATATTATATTTTATTTTATTATATTGTATTGTATTATATTATAGTTTATTATATTGTATATTATATTATATTATATTGTATTATATTATATTATATTTATTTTATTATATTATATTATTTTGTATTTTATTGTTTTATATTTTATTATATATTATATCATATTGTATTATATTATAGTATTATATCATATTTTATTATATGATATTGTATTATATTTTACTTTATTGTAGTATTTGGTAGTACATTGTACAATATTTTATTTTATATTTTATTACAGTATTTTTAGTTATACTGTAGTATATCTTACTGTATTATATTTTATATTATATTATTTTATGTTCTATTATATATTATATTCCGATTTATCATAAGTGGAGTCTGGGTTGTCCTCACCAACTCCGGAGTTTTGCACGAGGAACGTGAGCCTGCTGCATTTTGGGGTGTTTTCCGTGCACTTTTCTCTTTTTCCCCCTTTGGGTGGGACTGGGATTCGAACTCAGGCCCTGGCTGAGCCGGGCCTGGCCCTCAGCCCGCTTTCCGGCCGCGATTCTGCACCTTGGGCCTCTGCCAGCTGTCGCCCGGGGCTGGCCTCGAACCGCGGTCCTCCCCGCCGCAGCCTCCGCGCGGCCGGGATTGCAGGCGGGCGACCTGCAGCGTCCTTCCCGCGGGAGGCCGGGTTCCCTCTGGGCGCGGGGCCCCTGTAGGATTTTCTGCGTTCATCCTTTAGGGCCTGGCTTTGTGCAATGGGGTATTTCTGGGCAGCTAGGGGGAGGCTTTGAAGGTCTTTTGAACATGGGGCTCTGCTCCGGGCTCCCCGCCCTAGACCCCAAAAGCCATGTGCGGTGTGGGAGTGAGGCGAGGAAGGGTGGGGGGGAAAAACCCTATGATCTCATCCCCTGACTGAGAGGATTCCATTCTCTACCCAGAGGAATTGGGGGAAAAAAAATAGTCATTTTTTGCAGCTGGTGGCAAAGGGGTCCCGTTGCACAAAGTCCCAGCTTCCTGCATGCATGCAGCTCAGCCCCATTTTGGGGGATTTTTGGGGTTTTTGGGGGGTGTGGGCTTGGGGGACCTCAGGGTTTTTTATTGATTGATTGATTGATTTGCAGACCTGCAAATGCATTTATTTGGCAATGCATGATTGCATTTGTGTGCAAGGGAAACCCAGAACCGTCTTTTCCCCCAAACGCATCAGAACCGGGGCAGCTGAGCAAAGCCAGGCCAAAAAATAATAAAATTAAATAAAATTAAAAGATAAATGAGCGTTGAAGGTTTGCCCTGAAACAGACCTGGGGCGGATTTCTGCCGAAATATTCTTGAATGTCTGTTTTTACTCAAAAGGGAAAAAAAAAAAAAAGAAAAAGAAAGAAAAAGGGAAAAAGCAAGCCAGGCTGGCTGTCATCCCCGCGGGGATTTCCAAGCCACTGCAGACTCCAAAAAATTGCATTTTTTCCCCCATTTTTTAGCTATGTGAACATATTTAGGGCTTTTTCTTTTTCTTTTCTTTCTTTTTTTCTTTCTCCCCCTATTGTGGTCAGGAGAGAAGGGCTGCTGGGAACAGCAGGGGACTTGAAAAGTGTGCACTCATCAGTTTTGGGAATTTGGCTGGTTTGGGGGATTTTTTTTTTCTTTTTTTTCTTTTTTTTTTTTTGGCATGTGGGGTCCTGGGCAATATGGAAAAGATAAAAAGGTGAGTGGTATGTCTGAAAAAAAAAAAAGGAAAAACCCCAGGAAAGAAATATGAGGGGGGGCGGGTCTCTCAGATCACAAATAGTCAGTCTATTAACCTGGGAGGGAGCAGAGACCCCGGTCACCGTCCATCCTATGGGGTCAGGCCTGAGGGGTTCCCCGGCCTGAAATCCTACAGCACCCCGAAAGAAAGACCAGACAGAGGTTGTGAATGCCACGGCTCTTTCTCTTTCTCTCTCTTTCTCTCTTGTTTGTTGACCGCATAATCGTGATTCGGGGGCAGCAGGACTTTGGGACGGCGCTGACTGAACTGTGTGCGCTGGGTTCGGGGCAGGCGGAGACCCAAGACAGATGTGTCCCTGTCCCCTGTCTGTTCCCCGTCCTTCTGTCCCCCGTCCCTCCGTCCCCCTGTGGGATCCAGTTCTCCATCTTGGCCCCTCAGGTCCTCGCTCCTAGTCTGGCTCCTTCCCAGTTCCCAGGTCTGACTCCGGGTCCCCTTTTTCGTCCCCTTTTCCGTCCCAGGTTTTTGGCCGGGGAGAGAAAAGGGCTGGGGGTGGGGGTGGGAGAGGGGGGGCGCCACCATAGTCTGTCCTGTCCGTCGGTCAGTTAGTCACTCAGTCAGCCCGTCAGTCAGTCAGTCAGTCAGTCAGTCGACGAGTCGGGGCGCGCGGAGGGCGTGGCGCGGGTGGGGCGGCGGCGGGGCTGGGAGGCCCTGGTGCCAGAGCCGACTCCATTTCCATCCGGCCTGGAGCAGCGCGCGCCGGGCTCCCTTTTCTCCTCTGCTCTGCCCTCTGCTGCCCTGTCCTCTGCTGACCTGTCCACTCCCCAACCTGTCCCGTCCCTCTCCTCCCTTCCTGCACTTTGGGGGTTCCTTGTCCCCATTCTTCCTCCCTTCCCCCCAAAAAGAACAGCATCCGTGTCCAGCAGAAGTGGGCGCGGCCTGCGCTGCCCAGCTGGGCCCGGGCCCTGGGGGCGCAATGAAGAGGCGAGGCGAGGGCTGAGGCGCACGGCGCGCCCAGGGTCCCCTTGGCTCCGGCCCTTGGGCGCCATCGTCTCCCCGGGGTGGGGCAGGGCCTGGGTGGTGGGGTGGGTGGTGGTGGGGGGTGGACCGAGGCGTGGACTTGGAGAATAAAAGGGCGCCGTGCCGAGCTGGGAAAGCCGAGCTGCCTCGCCCCAAAAGCCCGGCCCAAGGCCGCGATGGCCTCGGGGGACTCGCGGTGCCCGTGACGCGCGCGCAAAGCCGCGCTCCGAGGCCGAACGCGGCTCCGCACGCAGGTGAGCGGGGACCCGGGGGGCGCACGGGCTGGAGAGGGCGCGGGGGTCCCCGGGGCTCCATGGAGAGGGGGGTCCCCCAAAAAGAGGGTAGCATGGAGTTCCTGGCACCTGGCGCAGTGGCCGGGGGTCAGCAGGAAAGCTGCAGGGCTCCTCCAAGGGGACTGGGAGGGTCCAGCGCCATGTGCGCCCCTCCCCAGCTCCATGCGCCCCTCTCCAGCCTGGGGACCCCAGTGGGGTTTCTAAGCGGAATCCTATAAGTCTGGGGGCCCTTTCCAAATTGCAGTGCTGGGGACCCTGTCCAAGTTTTGCTGGCCGTGCTTCCTGCGCCTCCCTCCCGGGCCTGGTCCACCTCTCTCTCCTCCTTCACGTCCTCCATGTCTGTCTTTTTTTTTTTTTTTTTCCGGTTTCCACTGTCTGTCCTCTTCCTTCTCCTTCAGTCTGTCTCCTCCTCCTCCTCCTCCAGGACACCCCGTGCCCCCTCTTTGCCACCCTCTCCCTCCTTCCCTGCAAAGTCCAGGCCTCCAACTGGAACCTGGAAACCAGTGGCGGTGGTGGCGATGGTGGGCAGGGGCCACCCAGGGCTGGATGTCGCAGCCCCACCTGGAAATGGCCCTGGCCGAGGGGGCGCGCGCCGCACCGCTTTGGCACCGGGAGCGCACGGGCGTTGCGCAACCGCCCGGCATCCCGCTGCCCGGGTTCGGGGACGGGGGCCGGTGAACCCCAAAAACTGCACAAGCCAGGGAAACCCCAAAAGTTAGGATTGGGAACCCCAGGGGCCGGGCAGGGGGGGGGACCTGGACAGGACGCAAAGGGTTGGGTGCAAAAGTGTGCAGAGCCATGGAAAGGGCCAGGTAGGGCGCAAAGCCTCAGCTCCCTTGCAAAGGGCAGAGGTGGACGAGCCCAGAGTGGCCAAATAGGGTCCTGTTTGTGGGGATTTTTTTTTCGAATTTTATGGTCAGTGCTGGAAGAAGAGGTTCTTTGGCGGACGGGAAGGAGAGTTTAACGATTATTCAGTTTATTACCACAGGGACACGTGCGGGCTCCTCGTCCCCATCTCTCCCTCTGTCTGTCTGTCTGTCTGTCTGCCTCTCTCCACCACTCCCACCTGGGCACAGTGAGCTCGCTCTCTTCTCCCTGCTCTCTCAGGTCCCCGTCAGCTGGTCACGGTCACGGAGGTCCTTGGGCCTCAGCTGGCCTCCTTTTCTGCCTCGCAGCAGCAGAGCGAGCAGCGAGGAGAGGAGGCCGGGCCCCACCATGCGCGGCCGGCAGGGGGGCGCTGTCCGCGGTGCTGACCGTGGTCCTGCTGTGGCCGCGGCCGTCGCCGTCCTGCCCCGCGCCCTGCGCCTGCTTCGTCCCCAGCGAGGTCCACTGCACCTTCCGCTCGCTGCCCGCGGTGCCCGCCGGGCTCCCCGCGCATGCGCAGAGGCTCAACCTGGGGTGCGTACGCGCGGGTCCGCCCTGGGGCCGGGCAGTCCCGGGAGGGGCACTTTGGGGTTCAGGTCAACTTGGGGTTCAGGCCAGTTTGGGGGTTCAGGCGAACTTTGGGGTCTGTGTCAATTTTGGGGTTAGGTCAGTTTGGGGGTTCAGATTAACTTTGAGGTTAGGGTCAGTTTGGGGGTTCCGTCCAACTTTTGGGGGTCCAAGTCAATTTTGGGGTTCAAGCCAACTTTGGGGTTCAGGTCAGTTTTGGGGTTCCGTCCAACTTTGGGGTCTGTGTCAATTTTGGGGTTCAGGTCACTTTGGGGGTTCAGATTAACTTTGGGGTTCAGGTCAGTTTTAGGGTTCAGGCCAACTTTGAAGTTTAGGTTAGTTTGGGGTTCAGCTCAATTTTAGGGTTCAGGTCAATTTGGGTTCAGGTCACTTTGGGATTCAGGTCAGTCTTGGGGTTCAAGCAAACTTTGAGGTCTGTGTCAATTTTGGGGTTCGGGTCAGTTTCGGGGTTCAGATTAACTGGGGTTCAGGTCAATTTTGAGGTTCAGGAGAACTTTGGGGTTTCTGTGAGTTTTGGGGTTCTGTCAGTTTTGGGTTTGGGTCAGTTTTGGGTTCCTGTCAGTTTTGGGGTTCGGGTCAGTTTTGGGGTTCGGGTCAGTTTTGGGTTCCTGTCAGTTTTGGGGTTCGGGTCAGTTTTGGGGTTCCTGTCAGTTTTGGGGTTCGGGTCAGTTTTGGGTTCCTGTCAGTTTTGGGGTTCGGGTCAGTTTTGGGTTCCTGTCAGTTTTTGGGGTTCGGGTCAGTTTTGGGTTCCTGTCAGTTTTGGGGTTCGGGTCAGTTTTGGGTTCCTGTCAGTTTTGGGGTTCGGGTCAGTTTTGGGTTCCTGTCAGTTTTGGGGTTCGGGTCAGTTTTGGGTTCCTGTCAGTTTTGGGGTTCGGGTCAGTTTTGGGTTCCTGTCAGTTTTGGGGCTCCCACAATTGCCTCCACGACGTCGTGGCTTCTGCGTGCCCCAGTCTCGTCCACGTGCTGGAAGGCGGTGGCCCTGGGGACAGTCTCAGATCATCTCTGGGGTCATGACCTTTCCGGCAAGTGGCCTCAAACACCCGTCAGGGCCGTGTGCAAAGCGGGGTGCACGGGCTCAGCTGTGCACGGATGAAACCCACAGGTAAACACGCGGTGTCTATTTAATTGCACACACCGAGCAGCGAAGGACACTGATAGGCGATGTGCCGTGTGCAGACAGCATATGCAGATGAGGGTGTGGCTATGCAGATTTATGTAGATGAGGCAGAGTATGCAGATGACGTGTGGATATGTAGATTTATGTAGATGAGGCAGTGTATGCAGATGAGGGTGTGGCTATGCAGATTTATGTAGATGAGGCAGTGTGTTCAGACGAGGGTGTGACTATGCAGATTTATGTAGATGAGGCAGTGTGTGCAGACGAGGGTGTGACTATGCAGATTTATGTAGATGAGGCAGTGTGTGCAGACGAGGGTGTGGCTATGCAGATTTCTGTAGATGAGGCAGAGTATGCAGATGATGTGTGGATATGTAGATTTATGTAAATGAGGCAGAGTATGCAGGTGTAGTTATGTTGATTTATGTAGATGAGGCAGTGTATGCAGATGACGTGTGGATATGCAGATTTATGTAGATGAGGCGTGGGTGACGTGTCGGGTAACACCGGCCTTATGTCAGGTACTATATGTCTAGGAAACCCACGATTTTGCACTCGTCACTCATAAAATTAAAATCTGGTTGTTGACTGACTTTTCTGGAACACGTTTGCAAACTGACGTTGCTTCCTACACTTTTCAGGTCTGGGGCTTTACCTGGTATTCGAAATGATCCATTCTGAGAAATCCACAGAAAATTCGCTCTGCCAGAGTCCTCGGTCCTCTGCTCTGTCACGTGTGCTTGTGGTTTTGAAGAGAAAAACAAAGATTTTCATCAAAAAAAAAAAAAAAAAGAAAGAAAGCCGGGCGTTGTGGGTCACAGCTATAATCCCAGCTTCTCGGGAGGCAGAGAGCAGGAGGATCGCGGTTCGAGGCCAGGCTGGGGGCAATAGTTTTGTGCGACCCCATCTTGAAAAAACCCAATATTAAAAACAGCTGCAGTGATTTGAAAAGAGCAAAGGGGAGGTCCTGAGTTCAAACCCCAATTCTGCCCAAAAAATAAATAAAATAAAAAAAAATTAAATAGAAATTCTGGAACGGAAGCTTGATATAAATGACCCGGATCAGATGACGTAATGGGAACCCCATCTCAGGTGACCATCGGAAAGTCGGTCTAATTCAGGTGACCATCGGAAAGTCGGTCTAATATCAAACAGCAGAAATCCCATTTCAGGCTTCCTGTATGACCTTACAATTAAAATAGGAAGGGTAATTGGTGAATTTTAAAGCATCACGGCCCATTTTTATGCACAGACGCACCAAAAAGGAAAAAAAAGCCAAAATCAGACATCAAAAATCACTGAGGTGACCACAGAAATGGGGTCACCTCATTTTCTTTATGGCTTTTATTTTGCAAGGGATTGCTAAAAATTCTTTTTCGCCTCATTTTTCCCCATACTTTTTTCTAGCCTTTTAAAAACATTTTTTTTCTTGTGTCCAAATTGAGGAAAACACCTGGATTGTGTTGGAAAATATCACATTTTCCTGGAAAGACGAAGAACTCCCTTTTCCTTGCAGATCCTAAGACAGCCCTGGAGTCTATGGGATTGCTGTGCTGTCAACCTCTTCGTGTCACCTGTTGTGTTTGCAAACTGACTTCTTGTTGGTCCCTCACTTTGTCTGACTTCAGAGCACAATTCTCAAAGGGGGGACATATGGAAAATGATTTTTTTTTAAAAAGCCTGATTTGAAGTTCTAAACCCTATTCCTGGCCTCAAAGAAAGAAAAGTAACGTCATGATGACCTGAGGCCTTTCTGTTCCATTCCAGGTCAGGGTTGTTGATCGAATACTGAATCAAAGAAAAGGTGTGATGCAGGTCAGGGTTGTTGATTGAATACTGAATCAAAGGATATGTGTGATGCAGGTGAGGGTTGTTGATTGAATACTGGACCTAAGGAAAGGTGTAATGCAGGTCAGGGTTGTTGATTGAATACTGGATCAAAGGATAGGTGTGATGCAGGTCAGGGTTGTTGATTGAATACAGATGGATAATAGGAAAGGTAATGCAGGTCAGGGTTGTTGATTGAATACTGGATCAAAGGATAGGTGTGATGCAGGTCAGGGTTGTTGATTGAATACAGATGGATCAAAGGAAAGATGTAATGCAGGTCAGGGTTGTTGATCGAATACTGGATCAAAGTAAATGTGTGATCCAGGTTAGGGTTGTTGATTGACTACAGATGGATCAAAGTAAATGTGTGATCCAGGTCAGGGTTGTTGATTGAATACTGGAGCAAAGGAAAGGTGTGATCCAGGTGAGGGTTGTTGATTGAATACAGATGGATCAAAGGACAGGTGCGATCTCTGGGTTTCCTCCGCACCAATGGGGGTGGCATTGGGAACGGGGCCCAGACCCCGTTATTTCCCATACGGGACTGAACTCTTAGGACTTTCCGCCGGTCTCCGCCCTGCAGCTTTAACAGCATCCAGTCCCTGTCCGTGGCCTCCTTCTCCGGCCTGACCAAGCTGGAGCTGCTGCTGATCCACGGCAACGAAATCCCCGACATCCCGGACGGGGCCCTGAAGGACCTCAGCTCTCTGCAGGTACATTTGGGGGCAGGGGCCAGGGGAAAAAAATCCCCCAACTCCTTCCCGACCCCACGGGGGACCCGGGCCGGCCGCGGGGGAGGCGGAGGCGGGGAGGACCTCGGTTCGAGGCCGGCCTGGGCGGAGGGGGCGGAAGAGAAAAAGAGCAAAACCGGAGAGAGACCCCATCTCGAGCGCCGGGCCGGGCCGCGCGGCGCCTCCCACAATCCCCGAAAACCGTTCCCGCGCAATAAAACGGGGCGAGCGCGTCCGGCGGGCGGCCGGGAGCCTCCTGGCCAGGCCGAGGCCCCGAGTTCGAACCCCGGGCCCGGAACGAAGACGTCTGACCCAATTTTTGTCTCTCGGGTGGGGTGGGGGGGATTTTGTGCGGGAAGGTGCTGAAGCTCAGCTACAACAAGCTGCGGGCGGTGACGGGGAGGACGCTGCGCGGTCTGTCCGTCCTGCGGCGGCTGCACCTGGACCACAACCGCATCGAGTCCGTCCACCCCGGGGCCTTCCGCGGCCTCGCGGCCCTGCGGCTGCTGCACCTGGAGGGGAACCGGCTGCGGCAGCTGCATCCCGGCACCTTCGCCACCGTCCCGCTGCTCGGCCACCTCGGCCCGTCCACCCTGCGCCACCTCAACCTGGCCGGGAACCGCCTGGCCGCGCTGCCCCCCGCCATGATGGCCACGCTGCCCCTGCTGGACTCCCTGCACCTGCACGGCAACCCCTGGGCCTGCGACTGCCGTCTGCACGGCCTCCTGCGCTGGGCCCGGCCACGCACAGGTACAGCCGGCCGGGTCCGGGCTGCATGGTGCTCCACCCCGGCACTGAGTCCGGGCTGTGTGCTATTCCGCTTTCCTTTGGGTTCCGGGCTGTGTGCTATTCCAGTTTTCTCCAGGTGCCGGGCTGTATACTATTCCACTTTCTCTGGGTTCCGGGCTGTATACTATTCCACTTTCCTTTGGGTTCTGGGCTGTGTGCTATTCCACTTTCTCTGGGTTCCAGGCTGTATACTATTCCACTTTTCTCTGGTTGCCGGGCTGTATGCTATTCCACTTTTCTTTGGAGTCCAAGCTGTATACTATTCCACTTTCTCTGGGTTCCAGGCTGTGTGCTATTCCACTTTCCTTTGGAGTCCGGGCTGTATACTATTCCAGTTTTCTCCAGGTGCTGGGCTGTATACTATTCCACTTTCCTTTGGGTTCCGGGCTGTATACTATTCCGCTTTTGTCCTGGTTCCGGGCTGTATACTATTCCACTGAGGGTTTGCAGCAGGGAGGCGCCATCTTTGTCTTCCGTGGAGGTCACGAGGCTCGAGGGGCCTCTCCAAATCTGGTGACGACTGAGAAGAGGACACAGGGAACGGGTTTGAACCAGGAAGGGGCAGCTGACAGTCACTCAGCTGATGGATGTTGACTGAACTTATGAAATGGACGTTGATTGAATGTACGAACTGCATGTGGATTGAATCTTTGACCTGCATGTTGACTGCATGTATGAAACGCATGTTGATTGAATTTATGAACTGGATGTTGAGTGAATCTTTGACCGGGATATTGACAGAATCTGTCAAGTGGAAGTTGATTGAATCTATGAACAGAATGTTGATGATTGAATCTTTGACCAGGATGTTGACTGAACCTTTGACCTGCAGGTTGAGTGAATCTCTGACCTGGATGTTGAGTGATTGTTTGACCTGGATGTGAACTGAATCTATGACCTGGATATTGACTGAATCTATGAACTGCATGTTGACTGAATGCATGAAATGGATGTTGATTGAATGTTTGACCTGGATGTTGACTGAAAGCTTGACCTGGATGTTGACTGAATTTATGAAGAGGATATTAAGTGAATGTTTGACCTGGATGTTGACTGAATCTTTGACCTGGATGTTGACTGAATCTTTGATCTGGATATTGACTGAATCTATGAACTGCATGTTGACTGAATGTATGAAATGGATGATGATTGAATGCTTGACCTGGATATTGACTGAAAGCTTGACCTGGATGTTGACTGAATGTTTGACCTGGATGTTGACTGAATCTATGAATTGGATGTTGACTGAATTTATGAAGTAGACATTAATTGAACGTTTGACCTGGATGTTGACTGAATCTCCGACCTGGATGTTGACTGAATCTCCGACCTGGATGTTGACTGAATCTTTGACCTGGATGTTGACTGAATCTCCGACCTGGATGTTGATTGAATCTTTGAGCTGGATGTTGACTGAATCTCTGACCTGGAAGTTGACTGAATCTATGAACTCCATAGGTTCATGCAGGACGAGGCAGAGCAAGAAACAAAATGGTGCCGGCCAGGATGGTGGACAGAGAAAGAGGACCCAGGGGAGGAGATGGGAGTGACCCGAAGAGAACGAGAAATTTAGGATTCCTTCGTAGGCAGGGGGCCGAGAGCAGACGCAAACCCCACAGACGCGATCGAGTCCGTCTCGGCCGTGCTCGCGAGACCCCATCTCGAGAGCCGGGCGCGGGCGGGCGCGTCTGCAATCCCGGCCCGACTTTCTTTCCCCTCCCCGTGTCTCTCTGTGTGTCTGTCCGTCTGTCCACCCCAGGGGTCCTGAAATGCCGGAAGGACAAGGCCTACGAGGGCGGCCAGCTGTGCGCCACCTGCGCGAGTCCCCGGCTGCTGAGGACCCGGGAGATCCAGCAGCTGACGCACGTCACCTGCGCAAGGCCGTCCATCCGGTCGCCCCTGAGGCCGAACCGCACGGGGGTCCCCGCGGACGAGGACGGGGACGAGGACGGAGAGGCCGACGACCACCAGGTGGCCCTGGAGGGGCTCCTGTCCTCCCCGGGGTGGACCGTCACCCTGAACATGACCGACGAGCACGGCAACGCGGCCGAGCTGGCCTGTACCATCAAGAAGTCGATCAACATCCGCCGGCTGCAGCTGAACCAGACGGACGCGGCCGGGACGGACGTGGACGCCACCGTGGGCCTGGACCTGGGCTGTCCGGTGACCCGGCGGACCGTACGAGAGGCTGTGGAAGCTCGATCGCGTACTACAGCGAGGAGCCGGTGACCCTGGTCAGGGAGCCGGGACGGCCATCGCTACCGCCAGGAGGCCGCTGAGGATGCGCTGTACTACACGGGCGTCCGGGTGCAGATGGCGGCCGAGCCGCCTGGCTCCTGCAGCCGTCCGTCCGGATCCAGCTGGACGGCGCCTCAGCACGGCCGGCCAAGTCCTGCTGTCCTTCGGCACGCGGTTCGTCCTCCCGCGTCCGGCGAGGCGGCCGGGGACGCGGGGCCGGCGGCTGGGTCATGGTGGACGCTGACGGGGCCGGCCCCCGGGCCCTGGCCGCTGTGGAAGGCTCTTCGTGCGTCCTGAGCTGCCCCGTCCACGCGTCCGAGCGTCCGTCCATCTCCTGGATCCTCCCGGACGGCTCCGTCTTGGAGGCCCCGACGACCGACCCGACCGGCCGGCTGTCCGTCCTCAGCAGCGGCCGTCTGACCGTCCGCTCCCTGCGGCCGTCGGACTCCGGCCGGTACGTCTGTGTGGCCCGGGTGGCCGGTGACGCGGACCACGCAGAGTACCGGGTCTCGGTGCAATCAACAAACGTCGCCCACACAGACTCGCCCGCGGCCACCGTGCGCACGGACGCCGGGCAGCCGCTGCTGCTGCCCTGCGTGGCGTCCGCCGTCCCCGAGGCCACGGTCACTTGGATCCTTCCGGACGCCACGGCCGTCGGTGCCACCGCCAATCAGTCGGACGCCTTCGTCACGCCCGACGGGTCCCTGTCCCTCCCCAGAACCCACGCGGGGGACGGCGGCCTCTACCGCTGCGTGGCCGTCAACCAGCGAGGGACGGACCGTCTGACCGTCAGGGTCGCCGTGACCAACAAGAGGCCGCGGCGTCCAGGCCTGAAACCGGCGTCCGAGTCCACGCGGGACATCGTCCAGGACGAGGGCGGCTCGGGCGAGGGGGACGAGGACCAGGCGTCCCCCAGGGCGCCGGCCGGGGACGACAAGGCCAAGACAGGCGGGAGGAAGCTCAGAGTCTGGAAGGAGCCGGAAGCCAAGAAACTGGCGAGGGCCGCAGGTTCGTTAATCCAGGCCGCAGAAGATCCAGGTTGGTCCCACAAGCAGATCAAAACACCCGAGGCTTGGGCGGGCAATCTTGGCAGAGTCCGGGGCCGAAATTGTCGGAAGGGGACGGAGATCCGGGCCACGCTCCCTCACCGCGGGGCCGCAAATGTCACCCACGGAGGGCGGCATGCCCGTGCGGTCACCTCCGTCCGAGCTCCCCCCGACGGACGGCCACCGGCCCGAGGATGAGTCTCTGCCGACCGCGGCCCCGTTCGGGGACGATGACCGGGTGTCCCGGCCCCGTGTCGTCCACGTTGGACCCACTGGACGCTGTCAACGGGGAGGGAGCCGCCGGGCTTTCGGCCCACAGACGTCGGACGCAGACGTCCCCCGGGTCCACAACCGGTCAGCAAGCCTCCCGCTGGGGCTGGCTTCCTTGGCCGGAGGCGCCCGAACGGATTGGACACTTCCATTTGGAGGTAATTCAGAAGGCCAGTTGAGGTCTGAGACCTTGGCGATGGGTCCAACCAGACGTCCGGCCGGGATGTTGGTTTCTGGTCTGGTCTAACCAGATGTCCCAGTGGCCATCTTCTGCAAGGAACGAATTTAAGCGGTCAACAAACCCCACGATGAACCCAAAGGGGACAAGGAAGATGTCCCACTTCGTCCGAGTCGCCATGTTGGTCCCTCTCCGTCATCTCCATGGGGCACAACGGGTAAGCAGCATCTTGAGAAAAGTAGCCTGAGCGCCCAACCAACACCACGACCGTGAAAGGGATGAAGAGGAAATCACAGACCGACTAACGACCTCAGCGGACCAGCGTGGAGTCCGGAGCCAAGATGGCTTCTCCATCGCTGCTCCTCGTCCCACGTCCTGCAGCATTAGGCGGGTGCCAAACCGGTCGCCGTTCCAGGGGACGAAGATGCACCTCCAACGCCAGGTGACATGGAGCCCCAAGACCGTCCCCGTCTCCGGGGTCCCCAGCTTCCCGAAGGACGAGCCCTTTAAGGGAAGAGGAGATTCCGCCTCCCATAAAGCAGTCGACCGTTGCAGAGGCAAACCCCAAAGATGGCGTCTCCCTCAACCCCACCCCGACGATGCGCCTGCCTCGTGCCCGTCGGTGGACCACCAATCGGTCGCACCCCCCGAGTCACAGAAGCCCACGCGGCTGGGACCGCCACAAGAAAGGCCGGACGGGACACGGGAAGAACCCCGTAAGCACCAAGATGGCGCCTCCACCGTGAGCTTCTGTGAAACCTCTGTTGTACCCAGTCTTCCTGGGGTCACGGCCACCGCCATCTTGTTCCGCCACGCCTAACGGATGGAGGCACCATTGGGGGCCCTTTGGGGCCACCGCGGGATATTATGTGACACGTCACCAAAACCCCTACAAGAGTCCAGGCCGGCCACGGAATCGACCTGTGCCAGAACGCACCAGGGAAAGAAACCAACAACTGGCGGTCACCCGCATGGGCGTGGACTAATGGGAACAGACGCGCCGGTCCTTCTTACGTCCTCGGTGTTGCCCCGTGGGGAAATCGGGGATCCGAGCCGTCACCATAGTCACTCGAGGAACACCAGGATGAGGACCTCCTTCCCAGGGAAGCCAGGCCGGGGGAAGGAACACAGACGCACCTGTTTGGCGCTTTTGGGGCAGACCCGACAGATTCTCCCCATCCTAAAGAACTGGAGGACGTAGGTTTCCCTTCAGACTTCCTATCTGACCCTAAAGTCTCGTCCCCCTTTCGACGGGAAGAAATGGGTCACCCGGCCACCGTCCCCAAAATACGGATGGCGTTGACTTCCACTCAAGGGGGAACGACGGCCATCGGCGGTCAGAACGACGCCCAAGTCACCCACAGCGCGTCTGAAAGCGGACCCCAGAATCCCAGTCCTAGTCCGTCTGGGACAGACCACTGGATGTCTCCCGTGTCCCGATAGAAAGGACGACCAAGCCGCCATTGTCCACCCCCAACCTCACACCCGCCACCACCGGGTTCCACGGAAGGCGTCTCCTTCAATTTTGTGGGGAACCCAGAAACCGAAGGTCCACCGGTGACCAGAGACCTAACCCAACCCCAATGGCGGCCAAGGGACCCGTCTATGTCCTCGTCCCACCAAGATGGCGTCAACCAACCCCAATGGCGGCCGAGTGACCCATCTACGCCTTCTTCCCACCAAGATGGCGTCAACCAACCCCAGTGGCGGCCGAGTGACCCATCTACGCCTTCTTCCCACCAAGATGGCGTCAACCAACCCCAATGGCGGCCAAGGGACCCGTCTATGTCCTCGTCCCACCAAGATGGCGTCAACCAACCCCAATGGCGGCCGAGTGACCCATTTACGCTTCCTTCCACCAAGATGGCGTCAACCAACCCCAATGGCGGCCGAGTGACCCATCTACGCCTTCTTCCCACCAAGATGGCGTCAACCAACCCCAATGGCGGCCGAGTGACCCGTCTACGCCTTCTTCCCACCAAGATGGCGTCAACCAACCCCAATGGCGGCCGAGTGACCCATCTACGCCTTCTTCCCACCAAGATGGCGTCAACCAACCCCAATGGCGGCCGAGTGACCTGTCTACGCCTTCTTCCCACCAAGATGGCGTCAACTTATCCTCAGAGGAAGAGTTGGGGGGGACCGCTGCGGGGTGTGACCCCCAATCCTCGTCCACGTGGCCCAGATAGCCACCGCCGGGGTGACGGAACCCATTTGCCTCACCCCGGGAGCCGTGACCCCGTCACAACCCCCTTCCCAAAGGGAACGGTCCAGCCATTGCATATGGCGGCCACCGGGACTTCCTCTGGACATTCTGGAACATTCCAGCCTCCCCGTCGCACCACCGACAAACCCAGTCCTCCCAACGGCCAACGTCTCACGACCCCAAAATCACCAACGGCCAACCCGCCCTTGGCGCAAACCCGGCCCCCTTAATAAGGTCACCGACCCCAAGAGGGACCCCAGACCCAATGGCTACGCCGAAGAGACCGGGCGTAATGTCTTCCCCGAGCCAAGAAACCCAATGCAGGGGTTCCCACAGCCGGGGGTCACCCCAAAGTCCCCGATGTCCACGTCCCTGACCCGCTGACGGACGCAGGAAAGTGGACCCTGGGCCCTACAACAGGGTCCATTCCCAGAGCTCCATCTTCAGGGCTCTTGGTCCCCCGGCTCCCCCGCTTTTTCCCGCTCCCCGCACCGTGGAACCACCGTCACCCCGGCCACCAACGTCCCCCGTGGCCGGCCCCACAAGGTCCTCCGTCCCCTTCCCTGTGTCTCCCGTCCAGCCTTCCAGAAGCTTCCAGCAGACCAGCCTGAAGGTCGTGGGGGGCGGCCCCCCTGCCTCCAAATTCTGGACGCTTGGGGAAAAACCCCAAATCATCAGCAAAACCCCACAGACGGTGTCCGTCAAGGCCGAGGCCGATGTCGTCTTCCCTTGCGAGGCCACAGGGAAGCCCAGGCCTTTTGTCACCTGGACCAAGGTGTCCACAGGTGGGTTCACGGAAAAGGGGACTCGTAGGGGAAACTGAGGCCCGGGTGGCTCCTGGCAACGCAGCGGAACGACCGTCCGGGGTTGTGCAAACCGAGATGGTCCCCATTACACGGGGGCAATGAGCACAAGACCCCGTGGCTAGCCCGACACGGGAAAGGGCGTGCAGGGTAGGACAAGACGACGTGTAGTTGGCACAAGAGTTTTCCGAGCCTGCGTAGTTCTGCAATGGGATGTGATCTTCCCGGAGGTGCACGGTTTTGGGGTCCCCTAAGGAGTCGCGCAGGAGGACATCTTGGGTCAGGACTGCATCCTTTTTCATGGCTGAACAGTATTCCCCAGTGGGCAGATACCGTCACCGATCGCTCAGTGGACACCCGGGCGTTGGCTACCGTGAAAACGGGTCCGAGTCCTCTTTCTCATCTCACTGAGTTGGGGGATGTACCCAGCAGTAGGACCGTGGTCTACAACCTGCAGTTCTATTTTTCACTTTGCAAGCACCGTCCTCTTGATGGGTTCCATTTTTCACTTTGCCATCACCGTCCCGGTGTGGCCGGGATTACAGGCCCCTCTGGATAGTTGAGATGAGGCCCTCCTTGCTGCCCTTGAACCACCCAAGCTCTCTCTGAGACATTTGCTTTTGCACTTGGAGGTGGGGCGGGGTGGCGTGGCTGGGGTGGGGGGGAGCGGGGCTTGAAGATAATAAAATGAATAACTGACGGTACTTGACTTGACTGAACGCGTGTCGCCTTGCAGGAGCTCTGATGACGCCAAACACCCGAATTCAGCGTTTTGAGGTCCTGAAGAACGGATCTCTGGTCATCCACAACGTCCAGGTGCAGGACCGGGGTCAGTACCTGTGCACGGCCAGCAACCTGCACGGGGCGGACAAGACGGTGGTGCTGCTCTCCGTCACCGTCCAGCAGCCTCAGATTTCGGCTTCTCCTTACCAGGACGTCACCATCTTCCTGGGGAAACCATAGCCATGGAGTGCCTGGCCAAGGGCAGCCCGGACCCCCAGATTTCCTGGATCTTCCCCGACAGGACGGTGTGGCACACGGTGTCCCCCGCGGCCAGTCGGGTCACCTTGCACGAAAACCGGACCTTGTCCATAAAAGACGCCACCTTTTCGGACAGAGGCGTCTACAGGTGCGTGGCCAGCAACGCAGCGGGGGCGGACAGTCTGTCCATCCGCCTGCACGTGGCCGCCCTGCCGCCGGTCATCCAGCAGGACCAGGCGGAGGACATCTCGCTGCCCCCGGGGCTCAGCATCCACGTCCACTGCTCGGCCAAGGCTGCGCCCCCGGCCAGCGTCCGCTGGGTGCTGCGGGATGGAACCCAGCTCCGGCCATCGCAGTTCCTGCACGGCCACCTCTTCGTCTTCCCCAACGGGACGCTGTTCATCCGGAACCTGACCCCCAAGGACAGCGGCCGCTACGACTGCGTGGTCTCCAACCCGGTGGGCTCGGCGCGCAGGACGGTGCAGCTGACCGTGCGGCGCCCCGCGGCTGCCAATGCGCACATCACGGGCTCCTCTCCCCCGAGGACGGACGTCGGCTACGGGGGGACCCTGAGGCTGGACTGCAGCGCGGCCGGGGACCCCTGGCCGCGCATCCTCTGGCGCCTGCCGTCCAAGAGGATGATGGACTCGCCGCTCAGGTGCGTGGACCCTGAAGTCCCCGGGGTGGCCGTGCGGGTCCCGTGCGCCCTGGGCGCATTGCGCTCGCGGGTTGGAGAGGGACAGGGGACCGACAAGGGCCTGTGTCCTGGTCCGGGATTGATGAGCACGGAGGTTGGGGTGTCCAAAAGGATGGTGGACTGGCTCTTCAGGTGCCTGGACCCTGAAGTCCCCGGGGTGGCCGTGCGGGTCCCGTGCGCCCTGGGCGCATTGCGCTCGCGGGTTGGAGAGGGACGGGACCGACATGGCGCGCATGGGGAGCGCAGGGTGAGTGCGCACAGGCGCGGGGTGTCCAAGAGGGCGGTGGACGCGCTCTTCAGGGTGGACGCCCCTAGTTGACCATTTGCTGTCGTGCGCCCGGGCGCATTGCGCTCGCGGGTGGCAGAGGGATGGAGGGACCGACAAGGGCCTGTGTCCTGGTCCTAGATTAATGCGCACGGAGGTTGGGTGTCGAGAAGGGGATGGACTTGCTCTTTTAGGGTGGCCGCCCTTGCTGGCCATTTGGCTCTTGTTGGGGAGAGAGAGAGAGAGACAGAGAGAGAGAGAGAGAGAGAGAGAGAGAGGAAGAGGGACAAGCAGGCCGGAGGAGCGCAGGAAGGGAAGAAAGTCAATCAACAAACTTGCTTGACTGACTATTCGTCGGTCTTGGGATAGTACAGGGTGGAAAAAAGCGTCGTGACTGAGCGCGACGCTTTTCCGTCTGCGAATCTGTCACCCTCGGTGACATCCTCACCGCCCCTTTTGGGGACGGAACCGCTGACCCCCCCAGCTGGCGGTGGCGAGGGTGGCGGCCATGTTCCCGGTCCCCCGTTCTTGTTTCGTGACCACCGCTCCCTGTTCCTCTGTCACGTCCGCAGCTCCGACGGCCGGATCAAGGCCTTCGCCAACGGGACGCTGCTGGTGGAGTCCGTCACCGACAAGGACGGCGGCGACTACCTGTGCGTGGCCAGGAACGGGGTGGGCGATGACCGTGTGGCCCTCCGGGTGAACGTGGTGATGAAGCCGGCCAAGATCGAGCACAAGGACGACCGCCACGACCGCCGGGTCTTCTACGGGGGGGACCTGAAGGTGGACTGCGTGGCCACCGGCCTTCCGGACCCCGAGATCTCCTGGAGTCTTCCCGACGGCCGTCTGGTCAACTCGCTCGTCCACCCCGGAGAGGACGACGGTGGCCGCTACATGGTCTTCCACAACGGGACCCTGTATTTCCATGAGGTCGGCATGAGGCAGCAGGGCGACTACACCTGTGTGGCCCAAAACCAGCTGGGCAAGGACGAGATGACCGTCAGGGTCACGGTGGTGTCCGGGCCGGCGGCCATCGCGGACGAGAGCTACCTGGCGCTCCGGGTCCCTTACGGGGACACGGTGACGGTGGCTTGCGCGGCCCGAGGGGAACCGGTGCCGAAGGTGACCTGGCTGTCCCCGGCCAACAGGGTCATCCCGTCCGCGTCCGAGAAGTACCACGTCGACGGGGAGGGGACGCTGGTCATCCGGAAGGTCCAGCGCTCGGACGACGGGAATTACACCTGCCTGGTCCGGAACAGCGGCGGGGAGGACCGGAAGACGGTGTGGGTCCAGGTGACCGTCCGGCCGCCCACGATCAACGGCCACCCGGACGCGGTCACCACAGTGCGGGAGGTGGCCGCCGGGGGGACCCGGAAGGTCATCGACTGCCTGGCCGAGGGCGTCCCGACGCCCAGGGTCCTGTGGTCACTCCCGGAGGGCGTGACCCTGCCGGCCCCCTACTACGGGAACGGGGTGACCGTCCACCAGAACGGCAGCCTGGACATCAAGACCCTGAGGAAGGCCGAGTCGGTCCAGCTGGTGTGCATCGGCCGGAACGAGGGCGGGGAGGCCAAGCTGATCGTCCAGCTGACCGTCCTGGACCCGGGGGGGAGACCCCGGTTCCGCGACCCCGCGGCCGAGGCCATCACGGCCACCGCCGGCCACACCATCAACCTGAACTGCTCGGCCACGGGGACCCCGAGGCCCACGCTGTCCTGGGTCCTTCCCGACGGCACCGAGCTGCGCGGTGGACAGCGGCTCGGCCGGTTCTACCACAGAGCGGACGGCGTGCTCCTCGTCAGCGGCCTGTCCCCGGCGGACGCCGGGCCGTACCGCTGCCTGGCCAGCAACCCGGCCGGCCACGCCGAGCGGCTGGTGTCCCTCAAGGTGGGCCGGGAACCCGACCCCAGCGGCCACCACCGCAACCTGGTCAGCATCACCCACGGCGAGACCCTCCGGCTGCCCTGCCCGGCGTCCGGGACCTGGACGCTGCCCGGTGGCCTCTCGCTGGACGGTCCCCAGGCCTGGGGTCGCTTCTCCGTCTCGGACGACGGGACCCTGACCGTACGCGGGGTGTCGGTGTTCGACCGGGGGACTTACCTGTGTCGGGGGGACGCCGGCCATGGTCCTTCTGTGGTCAGCTTCCCGGTCGTCGTCATCGCCTACCCGCCCAGGATCACCACCGAGCCGACGCCGGTCATCTACGCCCGTCCCGGCCACACCGTGACGATGACCTGTATGGCCGTGGGGATTCCCAAAGCCGAGGTCACCTGGGACACCCCGGACGGGTCACGGCTGACCGTGGGGACCCAAGCTCGTCTCTACGGCAACAGGATGGTCCACCCGCAGGGCTCCCTGACCATCCAGAGCGCCACCGCGAGGGACGCCGGCTTTTACAAGTGTGTCGCCAAGAACTGTTTGGGGACAGACTCCAAGGCCACCTACGTCACGTCTACTGAAGAGTCCACCGTGTCCTCCACGTCACGCGACCCGAGGGCGGCCACCGACGGGTCAGGAAATTCAAGATGGCGGGCCCGTGGCCCGGACGGCCAGTGTGACCTGGACTTTGACCCGGGCTCCGTCCGAAAGGACGGGGGTCACGGGGATCTTTGGGATCTGCCATCCCGACCCCGGGCCGTCAGCTTCGTCACGGGAATTTTTCCCTGGGGTCCACGGGGCAGCCGGGATTTTGCAAATGGCGCCCCTGTTTGGGAGAGCGTCTTGGAGCTGGAGAATTTGTCCCCAGCCCCAGGGGCGACGATGCTTTTAG